TCCGGCATACCTGAGGGACCGCCTTTCCCCATACAGGCCCCAAAGAGCACTTCGGTCGGGGTCACAACACCGCCTAGTGACCCCGGGACCTAAGGAGGCTTGCTGCCACAAGGGCCAGGTCCTTTTCGGTGGCGGCTCCTACCTGGTCGAATGAGCTCCCGGAGGAGATCAGGGCCCTGCGGGACCTTTTACAGTTCCGCAGGGCCTGCAAGACGGAGCTCTTCCACCAGCCTTTTAAGTAGGAGCCACTGCCGCCACTATTACCACCATCGTGTACTGCAGAGCAGTGCCGTCGGGGTGGGCCGATTAGCCATCCGGAACATCTAGGCCCATGGCATGCCCCCCTTTCTTCTTCTGACCTCACGGTGATATATAACAATGAGTATTTTAATCACCGATGCATTCTGTAAGATTGAAATGTGTTTTAAGTGGTTAACTTTGTTATTTTATCGCACTTTGGGTGCCTAAATTGTTTTAATCGTGTTGTATTTTATTGCACGGTTGTGCCTATGTAAGCCGCCCTGAGTCTGTGTGCGGGGAGGGCGGGGTACAAATGTAATAAAATAAAATAAATAATAAAGTGGTGTCCCTCTTACCTGATAGAGGTGGAAATTTCTCCCAATCAGGGTTATCTTCCTCTGCACATTGACTGGCATCAGAGAGGACCCCTGAATGCCCCGCACGCAGGGACAGGCTTCTGGCCCCCAGCTCTCGCTCTAAAAGCACACAAACATGCACAAGAAGAGCTGTTCACATGGCACACTGCTCCTCCTTCCTTCTGCCGATAAAGCTCAAAAAGAACTCAAAATCAGATAAGACACATAATCTTACCCGAAACAGAAGCCATTAAGGTGTTTATCTGATCAAGCCCATATAATAATTATTACAGATTTCAAAAGAAAGCACATTCTAATCTCGGGATATTTCACTGTCTTTTTTTCTAAGGGAATCAAGAGTTAATGGCGCCAACGTTAGAAGTCAAGTTGCTGCAGACGCATTATACAGGGTTTGTTCATGCATTGGGTTGGAACCCTATGGAATGTGAATGGAACAAGTTGACAGAATGAACCTCTCCCCTCCTCCTTCCTCTGCAGATCCCCGCACCCTCCTGAAAAGCTCCTCTCGAGTGTCAACAGATCCTCAATAACAGAGTAGGATGCAGCACAGGGGCTGCAACAAGAAGGGTAAAACTGGAAGACCTCCCCCCTCCATGCTCTTGTTTTGCCCACAGAATGAAGGGGGGGGGAACCCTGGCAGTTCCCCTATAAGCTGCACCCTTGAACTGCATCGAATGTCTTCGTAACACTTATGCCAATACAGGTGGGCAAGTGTTTGCTCTCTTGATCAGCATTTGGGGGGGGAAATCCCTGAAGAGCTCTCTCTCCTTCCCCCAAGCAACAGGAGGACAATTACTCTTTTCAATAAAGATGACCACAGCGAAACACCCAGTACCTTCCAGCAATTAGCATTACCAAATGATTCAAGTGTTGCATTATTCTGCAGCAGCGTTACGAAAATACGTGGGTTTATAAAATGCAGCCTTATGCTCTTCTTGAGCAGGGCTATGCACGCACCCAACCATTTTTCCAAAAGGTGGGAGGAGAATCGTGATAGTAACAATGACAACGGTGGGAGAAGGGGAGATGCAACCCACTTCTAGTGTGGAAGGGAAACCGTGGCTAACTTGGGTGCTGTCTGGAATATCTGTTGCAAGTGCAAACTGAATAACAGCTACACCAGCAACATGACCACCATGGGGAAACCCCTTGTGTGGAATCAGCTACGTTTTCCACGGCAGCCTGAAACTCACCAAGTCCAAAAACCCAGGTGCGTCATACTGGTAATCCAGCCCCGGGTTCAGAATTCTGGGGAAATCGGTGGTGTCGCTCTCCAGTGAGTCTCCATCGCCTGACAGAAGCATGGAAGCAGAGAAGGAGGATGTATCATTCTCAGATGACAGTGGATCCATCCATTCCTCGCTGTTCCTGAGTTCTAGGCCATCCCCAGGAAGCCAGTCTGGAAGGCCAGTAGGGGGAGGCACCTCAGTTGTAGGCAGCTCAGTCTCCAGGTCTCCTGGTAAGTCAGCGGAAGAGGTAGAGGCACTGGCTATCTGACTGGGGGTGAAGGGAGTCGGGACAGAGGAGGTGGGTGCTTCAGGCACAGGAGATGGAGTCGTGGAATCGGCCGCTTCTGTGAAAGGTGTCTGTGCCTCCACAACAGGCTGAAATGTGCTGCGAGTGAAGGAAGTGGAAGGGTCCGTGGACCAGTCTTCAGGACCAACTGAAAGTTCAGAGGTAGGATGTGTAGTGAGGCCTGGAGTCTCTGGTTGGCTGGTGAGGACAGACCATATTGACCCAATCAATGTGTGGGTAGTTAAAATCACCTATTACGACACAGTGTTTTTGTCTAGCTGCTATCTTTAATTCATTCATCATTTTATAATCCTCCTCTATCTTTTGATCCGGTGGGCGATAACAAACTCCCAGTGTTAAGTTTCCTTTTGGCCCCCCTATTTCAACCCACGGTGGTGGTGGTGGGACTGGGGGTGAAAGATTCTGTTGATGTTTCTGAGAGAACAGTTGGTTCAGTGGCTACAGTCGGAGCAGATGAAGGGGACACGGCTGTAGTGGGAACAGCTGAGGAAGGCAGAAGGCTGAAGACCGGTATTTGAGTCTGGAGTAGAAAGAGACAGAGAAGAAACATTTGAGTCAGCTAGCCGAACCAGAGACTTTTTGTCTCCTGTCGGCTTTCCCCCAATATTCAGTTTAAAAACTGCTCTGCCACCTTTTTGATTTTAAGCGCCATGAATATGATTTTCTCTCAGAGATGCTAAATACATCCCAAGCTAACAGACAAGTGCACTTCAAACATTATGGTACCTTGCACGCGTGCTGATGGGAGGAAGGGCAAAGGGGGGAGGGATTTTTGCATTTTTCAGTTTAGCAGCCCATAATATCATGTGTGCATGAAAATACTGCAGTGTGCTGGGAGATCACTAGGAGGCGAATCCACACAACAAAACCCAGGACTGGATCTACTTGCACGCAGAAGACAACAAGCACTGAAATGTCCTTTTCCATTCATATTTGGCCATCAATTATTGCTCCATCTCGGCTCATTTTCACAGATTGCACTATGCATTTGTGAGAGAGATCTGCAGCTTAAAAACAAGGCCTGAGTCACTTATTGTAGCTAGAGGACATCTCGTTCTACGGCAGCAAGAATTAACAGACATTCGACAGGAAAATATGACTCTGGATACATTTTCTGAGTCATGTGGCCATGGCCCCCAGTGATTATTTTATTTAAAGTTTTGCCTGTGGACACATTTCAACTTGCGTGATGACTCTGCAAAATGTTGACACAAGCTAGGCCTACAGAACAACCCCCATTAGAGTTGACATGGAATGTTCTGCTTGCTCCATCCTGTATCATTCTCCTCCGCGCTCTCTTTTTTGTCCACAATGAAAAGCTTCTCCTCTTATGTATGTCAAGTAGGGATGGGCATGAACTGGGGAAATGATGGGTCGTGTTGATTCGTGATTCGTTTGATTGCGCGAACCACAAACTTACATGAACTTTTCCATTTCCCAAACCAGTTCGTGGTTCGTTTGGTTCCAGAGGTAGAAGAACAGCCCCCTCGCGATTTAGAGATGCCAAACTCAGGGATTTTTCAGCAGCCTCTTCTCCACCCACCCTCCAAGTTTGGCAAAGATTGAATTTGGGATGTCCGAGTTATAGCCCCCCCCCCCAGCAGGTGCCCCAAGGAAAGCTCACCTCTAGCTTCAGGTTCAGTCCCTGCAACCACAGCAAGGAACACCTTCCCAGCTCGGGGAGGTGTTTTAAAATGTCTTCCACTGTGTGGGGAAAAAAGGAGTCCCTCAAAGCCTCCCCTAAATCAGCCATGCAGCAAATAATTCTTCTTCTTCTCTCACAATGACTAACTCTTCTCTCTTCATGCTGCAAAGTGAAAGCAGCTGAGTCAGGGTGTGGTATATAATCTGCTCCCATAGAGAAGAATGGGAGCTCTGTGGCTGGCTCCCAGAGATGCCAATCAAGCTGTGGACAACTGCTTTGGGTGTTTCTAGGACTCTCCACAAATCCACCCCCAGCATTGTCTAGGACTTGATTAAATCAGAGCCTGGAGAACTACCCAAACCTCCAGAGAAAAAAGGTGGTTCATTTTTGGGTTCGGGAACTGTGCTCAAACCAGGGTTCATTTGTGGGTTCGTGCCCATCCCTAACATCGTTGCCTGACTAAACACAGAATGGGACTTCCTGTGTTTGGCCAGGTGTTATAGCAGAAAGATTTTGGGCAGGTGCAGCTTCTCCTGTCGCAGACGCTCTGTTCCTCTCAGGCACATTTTCCAGCTTCCTGAGGGAATTCAGAATGGGCAGGGAGGCACAGAATTGAGCAAGAATGAACGGCTTCTGTGAACAAGGAGAACTGGGATATTCTGCCACACAGTAACTGAGGGGCTTTCTTCTTCCTGGATAAACGCCCTCCTTTGGAGCTATTCAAATACCCTCTGAAGCACACAGTTCATGGCAGGTTCTGTAGAGCGGGTCTGTTTAGTGCACCAAATTCTGAAGTAGCAAAACGGCTGCCCTCCTAAGCAAAACCTACTAGAAACACAACAGACAGATTACCAGACAGGCACTATGAAAGACACACCCTTTCGTTGTAGATGATGGTCCCTTCTTCACAGGTGGTCTTATGAGTGCAGAGGTGTTGATGGACGCACCAATTACACCCCCAGTGGCTGCTCACACACACCTGGCATCTGAAAGCAAGGAGAACAGAACAGTTGTGTGCAACAAGTCCCCATAGGTCAAATAAAAGCTTTGAAGTTTGGAGAGGCTGTACCCTCGTGGACTTACGGTGCAGATTTCCTCAAAGAGGCCACTGCTGCACAGTCATAGAAGGAGAATGAGGTTGAAGCAATAAAAACATCATGGAAACGCACCACCAGCTGAATGGTTATGTGGTCTGAAAATGGAAATTAAAATTTTAAAAGTCTCTTCAACACAGTTCAACAGCAAACACTGTCATATTTAGATACTATGGAGTTCACTGCCATAGGACGTTTGTGGCCTCTTTGAGGCATTAAAACAATTATTGAGGATGCCTAATCAACAGCTATTAGTCATGAGAGCTAAATGGAAACTACGGGGTTAGAGGCAGTGTACCCCAGGTACTGGGGGGGCCAGGAAGGCTGACTGCCTTCTTGTCCTGTTTGTAGGCTTTCCGGATTAATTTGGTTGGCCACCCATGAAAACAGGATGATGGGCTATATGGACGTCTGGTCAGATTCAGTATTGCTCATCTCATGTTCATAACATGATGGTGGAGAGGACTGTCAAGTCACAGCCAGTGTTCCCTCTAAGCTGAGTCACTGTGAGCTAGCTCACAGTTTTTTTAGCCTCTGGCTCACACATTTTTGTCTCAGCTCAGGAAGGGTGGCTCCAGAGCAAACTAGCTTACGCAGCAGCCAAATTGCTCACTCACAACTTTAATGCCAGTAGCTCACAAAGTAGAATTTTTGCTCACAAGACTCCACCGCTTAGAAGGGAGCATTGGTCACAGCTGACTTATGGCAACCCCTGAAGGGGTTTTCGAGGCAAAAGGCAAGCAGAGCTGGTTTGCCCTTGCCTGCCTCCCCGTCATGACCTTGCTATTCCTTGGAGGTCTCCCTTCCAAATACCGACCAGGGCCAACCCTGCTTAGCTTCCAAGATCTGATGAGACGGAACTAGCCTTGGCCATGAAGGTCAGTCAGGGTGTGCTCATAACATACCACTTATCAAAACTTCAAAATCTGATGAGAAGGAAAGCGAAATTACGGAAGGCATCTGCCAGGAGAATAAATCATGCTATGTTTATTTGGGACATTTCATTTTCCATACTGCGGGTCAGTTTAGACACCACAGGAAACCACAGTGCAATTAAACTAACTGTGGTTAATGAGACTGTCTGAATGTGAACCACTTTGCTACCTATGGCTAGTTAGGCTCCACCGAGCCACAATCCGGAACCGTAGTTCAAATTCAGTTTATTAGCCACAATGAGACTTAACTATAGTTTCCATGGACGTGCCGCCTGAATACGTGCTTGTTACCCAGCACTGCCTTCCCAGCTAGGGAGCAAAGGCCGGCAAATCAGCATTTGTCAAGGCTAAATCGGGGTTGGGCTGGTCATCTGCAAGCTGAATTCTGGTTTCACAAACTAACTATAGTTAAAATAAACCACGATTTTGCATTATGCCTTAACTGAGCCTGTGCGCATTACTTAACAAGGGTACATGACTTCATTAAATTGCAGGACAAAATGGTCATTCGGCATCGCTGATGTGGGACAGGTTATTCAAGACACGAGCGACAACAGGCGCTTCCACTGCAAAATAACACATTAGTAAAGGAGGAGGGAGGAGGGATCTCGGCAAGGAAACAGTGGCTGCCATCCATGGAGTGAACAAGGTATTCTGAAGCCTCCACGACTCCCATTTGTTACAGTTATAATCAGGGCTTTTTTTGTAAAAAAGGCTCAGCAAACAGCAGGAACTCATTAGCATAATAGGCCACACCCAACAGCAAACTCATTAGCATATTAGGCCACACCCCTGATAGTACAGCTCATTTGCATATTAGGCCACACCCCCATGTTACCAGACGTGTGGTCATCCAGCCACACCCACCTTTTGCTTTTTATTCTGTTTACCTTGTTTGTTGTCCAAACCCAGGGGGTTTTTTTGTAGCAGGAACTCCTTTGCATGTGAGGCCACACACCCCTAATGTAGCCAATCCTAATGAGTTCCTGCTGTTGGGTGTGGCCTATTATGCTAATGAGTTCCTGCTAGGCGTGGCCAACTTGGGAGCCAGCCGGAACTCCATTCCTGTGCGTTCCTGCCCAAAAATAGCCCTGGTATAATTACATTTTCTGCACTTTGTCACTCACCTGTTCCTGTTTTCAGACTTGGTGTTTGGCTGGGATCTGGTGACGGACACACGATGCCCGACCCCACCAGCACTGCTGGGCTCTCGTACTCTTCGAAGAAGCATGAATATGACTCTCCGTCCCGCAGGGGCGGCAGATCTGAAAGCGTTAGGAATATCTGCCAATGGGAGAGAGAAGCCTAATCAATAACTTCTCTTCTCCTCTAATGAGCATCTCCTCCCCTTCCGAAAGTGGAAGAGGATGGGGTCAATGGAAATGTGAAAGGGTGGCAGGCACAAAGACAAACAAGCAGAATTGTGTAGGCGTGCCGAGTGCTTAAGTCCAGGCCTTTGGCCAGTGAAAGTGGCACAAAACCCTGCAGTTCCTTACTCTTTGGCTCTTACTCACAAGAATGCAAGTTATCCTTCCACATCAGGAGGGCTAGTAATTTATTTTTGTTTTTTAACTGTAATCAGAGAGACCCGGGCTTCTGACTCCATCCTAGCAGATCAAATGTTATGCAACCAAATTCACCATTGCTTGGCTGGATTGTGCCTGTTTATAGTTCCAGCACCTCAGCTATGGCTTACAGTTTAAAAGAAGAAGATGAGATTGGATTTATACCCTGCCCTTCACTCAGAGTCTCAGAGCACGTTACAAACTCCTTTCCCTTCCCCTCCCCACAACAGATGCCCTGTGAGGTAGGTGGGGCTGAGAGAGCTCTCGACAGAACTGTCCTAGGGAGAACAGCTCTGACAGAACTATGGCTTGCCCAAGGTCATCCAGCAGCTGCAAGTGAAGGAGTGGGGAATCAAACCCAGTTCTCCCAGATTAGAGTCCGCACACTTAATGTCTACACCAAACTGGGTCTAGCAGGGCAAAACCAGCAGGGCAAAATCAGGACTGTGCATATTTTATAAAATATCTCGAATTTGCATGTAGAATAAATTAGGCAATTTTACAAAATTAAGTAACTGATTTGCCAAAATTCGGTATGGTTTAGCAATGCACTAATCTTATACAATTTATTCTGCCTTCAAGATTTAGGTTTTCAAAGAATTTGGAATTTGTTTTGCAAGAACTGGGGTGATAAAGGGCAAGAAAGAGAAGAGTTGGTTTTTATACCCTACTTTTCTCTACCTTAAGGAGTCTCAAAATGGCTACAATCGCTTTCCCTTCCTCTCCCCACATCAGGCACCTTGTCAGGTAGGTGGGGCTGAGAGAGTCCTGAGAGAACTGTGACCGGCCCAAGGTCACCCAGCAGGCTTCTTGTGGAGCAGTGGGGAATCAAACCTGGTTTACAAGATTCGAGTCTGTTGCTCTCAGCCACTACACCATGCTGGCTTTCAAAGGGCAAAGCGGGAGTGAAATGAAAAAGGTGAACGAAATGAAGATTGATGATACGTGGGCATGGCAGAAGGCATGTCCTGACCAGCCCACACATTTAGTCTACATAAAGAGCCATAAACATGATTGCAGAGGTATTTTTCAGAACCATGAGGACCAGTAAACTTGGATGCTCTGCACAAATGCATGGGATGGACTCGTGAGAGGTTAAAGGGTATCCGCCACACGCATAACATAGCACACAACTCCCATGCAACATTCTGCAGCACAGTTGGAGTCCATGTGACATGCAGGAATCTTATGTAAGCAAGAGAGTACAAATGCAAGTCATGGTACAAAAATTTGTTTGGGATGTTCTGCTTTTTGAGGATGCAATTCTGAATTCTGTAATTTTGTGCTGTAAGCCGTTTTAAGAGAATGGAGAGGTGGAATAAAAATGTTTTGAATAACCGAACGATAGCTTGGAAGCCTATTCAAGTCAACGGGAAATCTGCTCCCTGTTGACAGCTATGGGAATATGAGCCGTCCGCAAGGGAATGGCTGCATGTGTCTTGAATTAGAGGCTCAATCAAACCCCAAGAAACTAGGCTATAATGAATCCCCACCCCCCCTAATTTTTAGCTTCCATTTTGCAAAGGAAATGGTGAAAACGTAACCAATGGGGTTCCTTCTCACTCCACAACATCTCTCGGATATTTCTCATGCAGACCTCTCTCAGACAGAAATGCAAACATGCACAAGGATTCAGTGCATCTGTGCACACATTCATTTCTGTTCTTTTTTAACACTCTCCTCGCATGTGTCCCCTTCCCAATAGTCCAAATATTCTTTTGTGGGCTTTCAAGGGGCTTTTCTGAATTCTCATTTTTATCTCTGGTATGTTCCTGTTGCTTGGGGGGGGGGTGTTTCCATTCTGCAAATGTTTTGCTCCCTCTAGTGGACGATTCAATATTACATCAGTTTACAACTGGTCCGGCACCAAACCTCAACATGGCGCACTAAGGCTCATGAGGTCCACCAATGTAACCAGAGTAATGTACTAACATAGCAAGTTAACATAGCAAGAATAGTTAATAGCCAGGACTGTCATGTTATATTTATAAGTTGTACTCTTCCAATGTTTCCAATTATTTTCTTGCTGTAATCTATATCTCCCTGTTATGGTTATGTGTTATCGAGCTATGTGCATTGTAAAACAGTATAAAAATAAAATATTAAAAAAAAAATCTTCAGGGAGACATAACCCAATGACATAAACCATACCAAATCGACCACTAGAGGGAGTAAAACATGGGTAGAACAGGGGAAAAAAACCCCACCTGAAGAAACAGGAACTTACAAGTGAGAAAAAGACGATTGTGGAAAAGCCCAAGGTTATCAAAGTGACCTTGACCTTGAGTGACCTCTCACAGCAAAGCAGCAGCCAGGGCTTGGGTCCAGAGTCAGCATGCTGGGCTATCTGCTGAGGTGCACGGCACCGCAGAGGGCAAACTGCCAACCAGAGACTGGTGAAGGGATATTGCCCCACAGTACCCTGGGGCAATCTCTTATTCCATGCTGGGAAACACTCTTGCAGAGAGCATAGCACGACTCCTCTGCATTGCTTCTAGCTTTGCTGGCACTGATGGTGCTTGGAAAAGTGGCACCCTGCTTTCTCAACCAGGAGTGTGTGTGTGTTTTATGGGACAGCGCATGAGGGTTGCACCGGACAGTATCTTGCAGAGGGTCCCTTTAAACCTGGAGCCAATCTTTGACAGAGATGATAGCAGAGGTGTGAATTATTCCAAGCCCCCCCCTTCACCAAGGAAGTGTTCCAGAGGCAGCACAAGCCACTCCCCACTTCCAGTGTCACAGCTTACGCATAATAAGGTGCAAAGATGCCCTCTGACACAGCCTTCAAAGGGGAGTGCTAAAGCATGTGAGCTTACAGTTCTCTGTTCTTCTCTGCTGATGTTGGCTGGGCTCAGCGACTGGACAGACAAGCACTGCTGAGTTGAATTAAAGCCCCAGAGCCACTGCTCGCTCACTCGGAACCTGGTGCATTCGGAGCGACGGCTGCACCTGGGGGGGGGGAGACAGGAGAAAAAAGATGCAAGCGCAGAAAAACAAACAATCAGCACCGATGTGGGCTGTCCTAGAAAGGAGAGGGTTCCCCCACACACACACACCTGAGGCCTTGTGCATCTCTTTTTGTTTTTTTTAAACAATTTTATTTGGATATAACATCAAGTCAACCAATATAACATTTTAGCATCCATCTTATATCCTTTTCTCCCCCTATCTCCCCCCTTCTGGCTTCCCTCAGTGCTCCCACCTCCCTTCCAAATCTTCTATTTTCTTCTCTCTTCAGGCCTTGTGCATCTCTTACGTCTAGAGGCACACAAAGCAGATTATCTGGCAAGGAACTGAATACCTTAAAAGGGTCAGGATGTTTCCAACGTTCGTTCCATTCCACGGGGATGTGAATGTAGTACCACGTACAGTGGACGAGGACTAGTTCTACTTTGCCACTTACAAAACCAGTTGCTACCCGTTGCTGGCCCAATTCCATATAAAGTGACATGGGGACGGAGGTTTCAGACAGCATTTTTGAATTCATTTAGGAGCCATCTCCAAAGCATTCTGCCCATTTAAATCCATGCTGCTCCCCCCCACCCCACCCTTTGTGCAGCACGTTCTATCTGGGCTTCGGCAGAGGGGGAATGTTTTGGCTTTTGGGCGACAGTGCTAGACCGATACAGCAATTCAGTGCTTGCATTTGAATGCTGGCTAAAGTAAAGGCTCGAAAGCCAGTCGAATCCGACTCTAGGCTTGCGGTGCTCATCTCCGTTTCAAAGCCGAAGAGCCAGCGCTGTCCGAAGACGTTTCCGTGGTCATGTGGCCGGCATGACTAAACACCAAGGCGCACGGAACGCTGTTACCTTCCCACCAAAGTGGTACCTATTTATCGACTTGCAATTTCTTGCTTTCGAACTGCTAGGTTGGCAGGAGCTGGAACTAGAGACGGGAGCTCACTCCGTCTTGCGGCGCTCAGGTCTCGAACTGCTGAACTACTGACCTTCCACAGCCTGCAGTTCAGCATCTTAACCACTTGAGCCACCGCAGCTCCTGGGACTAGTGGCTATATAGCACTAAATTGCTATATAGGTCTAGAGCTGTAGAGCAAAAGTTCCAATGTTTAAAAAAGTATTGAAACAGAATGTGCTGCAAAAATGTCGGGAGAAAAGGTGGCACTTTCAGAAGTGCTGCAGACATTTTGAACACCACAGAACAGTGATTCGGAAGTGCAAAGAGCACCTGAAAATGGAAGAAAGGTGCTTTTGAAAAACCCCAGCTCAGCCCTGCTTTGCAAATGGGACCCAGGTGGCTTCATTTGAAAAGGTTTTTTAAAAATCACTTCGCGGCTGGGAGCCGAAACAGATGTGTCTGAAATGACACAAAGAATCTGTTAGCAACCAGCAGCTAAAATGGGTTACCAAGGCTGTTTGGAGAGGGACTTGTCCTCAGACTTATAAGCAACCATCCTGCGAAGCTTAATCAGCGAGCTCCCTGACGTCTCCTACAAGTGTCCAACAAGGGCTTTTTTTTAGCTTCATCCAGAAATCAAGATTGACCTTTGGTACAGAAAAGTCTGGGACTATTTTATATCTGATAAAATTGCAGATTGGGTAGCCCAATACGATACAACAGCCGAACAAAAGAGGGCTATGTTGAAATGGACTCAAAATGATCTAGTAAATAACGTTAGAAGATGTTTGATCAACCCAATTATTTTGGCTACTTTTTTGTTTTATTGAGTGAACATAAACCTCAAGACAAAGTTGGCTTTACAAGTAAGCAGGGCTATTTTTGGGCAGGAACGCACAGGAACGAAGTTCCGGCTCGCTCCTGAGTTGGCCACGCCCAGCAGGAACTCATTAGCATAATAGGCCACACCCAACAGCAGAAACTCATTAGGACATTAGGGGTGTGTGGCCTAACATGCAAAGAAGTTCCTGCTACAAAAAAAGCTCTGGGTTTTGACAACAAACAAGGTAAACAGAATAAGAAGCAAAAGGTGGGTGTGG